CTTGCAGCTTCACTGTCTCACTCTCATTCACACACATAAATGGAAGTGAGAACACTTACATCCTCGTTCAAATCTTTAGCAATTCAGTTTCTTCTTGTTTTCTAAAGTCTACAATTTCTAATAGCTTTTTAATAGGTTGCAGCAGAGTAGGACAAACTGCATTCTGCATTATGCTCGACACACAATACAAAAAAGTGCATGAAATAAACATTTGTGGCACTATATGTCATACAAAATTATTGATGATTATCTTTCAAATGAAAGTGTTATTTAATTTGGATGAATATTGTATTTGTTTGTTTGGGGTTGTTTTGTTTGTTTGTTTTTTGTTTTTTTGCAGTGTCTGTCTACCATTTAATGTGTGTATCTTATCTCTCCCAAATTGTCTAAAGTTTCTTTAATTTGTAAAACTTACAAATGGCAGAAGATGACACTTTTATCTTGTCAGATGCTTTTTAAATAAGCTGCCATCTAAAAATAAAGAATTTTGTTTAAAAAGGCTAAACATATTAAGAATTTGGATTAATTTGTGCTAAAATGTTATTTTCTGATAAGCTCTTATGAGTAAAATAACATATTATTTGCAAATCCAAATAAAATCACCTGGACAATTTTACCACCTTTAACATTTTACTCTTACTTTTTTACCTACTTTTACTTTTCCCGGACGAAGCTTTTATTTGTGAAATAACTCACTGAGTTAGAAAACTTCTTCCTTGTTGCAGCTGATGACTTGACACGTTGACCATGCCTGTGTTTACGTAGCAGAGGAAACACTGTCCCCCTGCGGACATTGCTGAGTAGTTTTGTAACACACCCACAACTCCAGCATTCAACTTCTTTTTATGAGTCATCCTAATCGAAAAATAACACTGACTGTATTTTTGCCATGACCACTAACAAGTCTTAACCCAAATATTTAGTGGTCGACTACACGGAGAACACTTTTATGTGTCTGGTCTCAACACCAGGACTTTCCTTTACATCTGCTGTACTGTGGGGAAAAAAGAAAGAAAGAAGGGAACGTCACTGTAATAGTAGTTTTTTAAAAATGTTGTCTTAAGAACAACTTTCTTCTTCTCAAAGCAAGCTGATATTTGTTAGTTGTTGATAAGTAACATGTCTTAACATGACCATGACTGCCCAACTTTAAAAAGTTCACTAAAGTTTGTGACGGTGTGCAGACGGTGTACATCACAGTAACTATATAAATTGAAATTCTGTGGTCCTCTATCTGATCCTTCATTCCCTCAGAAACAAACAAACAAAAAGCCAGTTGAACCATTAGCTTTGACAAACCTGCTACAGGTGAAAAGGGAAATGTGAACCTCTGTAACATTAGAAATGCTTCATTTGACCCCTTTGCTTCTAACAAGAATCAGGTTACCCAAGTGTACTTTGTCCTCCTGGGAGTTTTGTTTTATTTAACAGAAACTTGTAATTGTTGTGTTGTTTTTGTTTTCTGTCATTGGTGTAATATATGAAGAAAAATAACTCTGCTGTAATAACTCATTGCTAAAACGCCATTCATTAGTACTCCTTTTGCCTTCAAAGTTACCTTCATTTTCTTTGGCCTAGATCCAACAAGGGGCTGAAAACATTCCTCAGAGTGTTTGATCCATATTGACAAAATATTATATTATTAATTCTCCCATTCCAACACTTCCCAAAGGTGCTCTATTGGATTGGGATCTGGTGACTGTGGAGGCCATTTGAGTACAGTGAACTCACTGTGATGTTCAAGAAACCAGTTTGAGCTTTGTGACATGGTATGCTATCATGTTGGAAGCAGCAATCAAATGATGGGTACCCTGTGCTCATACAGGGATCATTAGCAAAAACATTCAGATAGGCTGTGGTCTTTAAGCAGTACTTAGTTAGTAGTAAAGGGTCCATAGTGTGCAAAACAATATCCCCACCCCATTACACTATGACCAGTTATAGTCTAAATGCACTAAGTTGCTGCCATGTAATTGTATTATTAGATATTTTCTTTAACCAGCAGTTCAGCCAACATATTTGCTTAAATGAAAATGACTTTATGCTGAAACTTTAAAAATGTATTGCTTTCTAAAAGTGTGAACACTGTTATTTTCCAATTACATAATGTAATAACAATGTATCTATGTCAAAGATACATTTGCTTTTTGAATCATTGTTAAAATGTTTTAGTTTTAAATACTTTAATAAATACACCCCCCCCCCCCCCCCGTCCCGGCCCCCCAAGCAATCTTTATTTGCCTGCCGGGCTTTTAATTTATTTGATAGAGGTAATAAAACGGATTATTTGCCATTAGAGCAATAGATACTGAATGAAGCTTTAGTGGCATAGAGATATTCTAATAATTTACAAAATACTAATGTAAAACACACACACACCAACACACCCACACGTACACACAACAGACAACTTATAAAAGTGAGCATGGTTTAAAAAAAAAAGCTTAAAAAAATGCGCACCAGTGCATTTTTAATATGAAATTAGATAGAACCCCGTGGATGTATACTGTAAACTAGTCCTTCAGACAAAGTTTTCTTGGAGTTTGACATCTTGTTTGTTCGCTAAACATCTTTGATGCATTTGATTCGTTAACCGCTGGAGGGACCTCTGTGGCGCATGCGCACCTTTCTCACTTTTGGATGACAACTGCGGCAGAGAGATAACGGACAAACAGTCAGCGAGAGCTCCGCGGCGAGGGCAAGGGTTCACTGTTCGGGTAAAGGTTTCTCTGTCCTAAACAAAGTAATGAGGTAGAAAGTCAAAAAGTTAACCAACCCAACCGGCTATGGAACAGATTGGCACGGCTACGGTGAAGATGGACCAGAAGTTTGAGGAGATAGATTCAGAGGGCCGGTGGCAGAAACTCTACTCAGTAAGTCTGTTAGCATAGCAACCGCAAAGCTAACGCGGATTGTGAGTACTTAAAGCGCGCATTTATTGGAGTAAAATTAACAGTCCGGAATGCATTTACTATAAAGTTATAACCGTCTTTCCTAAATAATTTCCTTTGTAGCTCATTTTCATGATTTGCGTTATTTTTAGAAGTCGCTGACATACTTTATTTTTAATGTTACCGAAAGCTTAGTCAATGTCATAAGCCCGTGCATATGGTTGAAGCGATTAGCTACATTACATAGCTACGGACTTGTTTACACTGTTAAATCCGCTCTCCCCCCGGGAAGATCCTGCTCTTAGTTCATATGTAATGACTGCCGAAAGTTACCGCGTGTGTTTACGAGTAAACCAACTGGTTTTCTGATTGCTCTCATGTGATAATATATGCCTAGTGAAAATGCTCAGAGAGGGGCGGAACTGAAAATGTAACCGCTTGAATTTGGTACACGTAGTGATTTGTTTCATTACTTTTTCTTTTGTGTCGCTAAACCTTACTCCCGCTGTCCAGGAAATCAGGAACCAGTCCCACGAGTGTTCCTACAAAGTGGCAAAGTATCCGGAGAATCGCAACAGAAACAGATATCGGGATGTCAGTCCATGTAGGTAAACATTTGTATAAAGGCCAGACTGTTTACCTGTCAATTCACAGCCCATGCCCAAATAACATTTCCCTTATCCCACTTGCAGTCGATCACAGTCGGGTGAAGCTGAAGAACACAGAGAATGACTACATCAATGCAAGTCTGGTAGTGAATGAGGAAGCCCAGAGGAGTTACATCCTGACTCAGGCAAGTCCAAGGAGTTCTACACCATGGTTAACCCTCTGAGGTCTAAGTCATTATATGTGCTATCTCCTAACCCTAATCCTGCCCCACAAATGGTGCTTGGAATTTTATCAAACTAAAGAAAATACCTGAATCCCAAATATCTGTTGAGATGTTCAAAATATAACGCTGAATGTGATTCAGAACACGTTTTGCTTTTGTATGTACTATTTTACGTAGTTTAACAGTATCATTAGCGCATCATAAAGTGTTTAATAAGCTTCCACAACATGGGTCCACAAGATAGACAACATAATCATGGTTATTTTGTTGGCTTCAATCTGTTTTTGTGCAGTAGGACTTAGATGCCTCAAACTAAAACATACTTTACTGCTCTGTCATGTTTTTAGTTTGAAGTCTGCGTTTTTGACACAAGTTGAAACCTTAGACTCGGTGAGGATATGTCTTGCTGCTAGGTCATCTTAAATCGGTCATGTAGTTTGGACACCAGAGTGTTAAGTATCTTGCTTTCAGGTCCATATAGTCCATTATTTATTAACACTGACTGATTATTTAGGCCCTAAAATATCTCTCTATATACACTTTTAGTTCTGTAATATTTATATGAATGTGGCTTTCCCCCCCAGTTCTTATCAAACTGTGTACATGTGGCTAGTTTGCATAATAGTTTGTGCATATGCCCTTCTTCTCCTCATAATTATTTATTATGTTAACCTGTGTACAATTACCACCCGGTTTGTTATTTAACCTCAGCCTCTAATTTCTAAAAATCCACAAAACCCAAACTAAAAGAGCTCAAAATAAATAAAGCAGGTTGGATGTTTCATTTGCTGTTCGACAGAGTTATTTGCATGTGGAAATAGACATAACACGGCACAGCAAATCCCTGAGCTGAGTAACTAAATTTGTTATCACAAGAAAACAAACTTCCAGGTAAGAATTTGACTAAGAGTGACCTGTTTAGAGATATTAACTCACACTTTTACCCCCATTCTCACATCAAAGAAGAAGCAAAGAGTTAAAGTCTGCATTAAAGTGGGAACATTAGGAT